TGAGCCCACGAGTGTGAGCGTGACAATTAGATCGTTCTTATCGGGCGCTCGGATTATCTAGTTGCAGAAGCAGTATACAGGTTGGTGCAAAAACTGTGAGTTGATCTTTTTTATTATTATTATAGTTTTTCATTTTTGATTTGTTTTTATTTTAGTTGCAAGTATACATATTTAATCTATAAATATAAGAGATATATGTACCAGGCGGTCCCATAATGAACTGGCCTGATATAGTTCAACGCGACATGTCGCTACATGTTGTGTTGCATTAAATAGTACGTTTATCGTGCACTTAATATAATAAACATGCATCGACATGAAATGCTTAGTCTTAGTTTAACAGGCATTTGAATAACGAGAGTCGCGTATTTTTTCAAAATGTCGAAAACTGAGTATCGAAGTGTCATAAAGTTTCTGTTTAAAGAAGGTTTATCCCCTGCCCAAATAAAAGAAAGATTGGATGGCGTGTATAAGGAGTCTGCTCCCTCCTATAGCACAGTGAAAAATTGGGTGAAAGAGTTTCGCCTCGGGAGAGAAACCGTCGATGACTTTGGCCACGACGGTCGACCTGTGGAAGTGCTCACTCCCGAAACGATTGCTCTTATCGAAGAGAAGGTTCTGAGTGACCGCCGTTTGAAGATTAGAGAAATTGCAGCAAGGCTTGGGCTCTCTAAGAGTACCGTTCATCGCGCGATCCATGAACATCTTCACATGAAAAAAGTGAGTGCAAGATGGGTACCGAAACTTCTTTCAGCGGTACAGAGACAGGAAAGAGTGCGCTGCGCTTCGGAGTTTTTGGATCTTTGTGGCGAAAATCCAAAGACTGTGATCGAGCGGCTAGTGACTGGTGATGAAACTATGATCTTGTATTATGATCCACAAAGCAAGCGCGAGTCAATGGAATGGCGTTATAAGGGTGAAAAGCCCCTAGAAAGGCAAAGGTGTAACAATCGACTAAAAAACTGATGTGCACAATATTTTGGGATTTTCAAGGCATTTTGATGGTGGATTTTAAAGAACGTAATACAGTCGTGAACGGCGAATATTATGCTTCTTTAATACATAAATTATGAGACAAAATAAAGGAAAAACGAAGAGGCAAGCTGTCTAAAGGTGTCCTGTTGCTCCATGACAACGCCCCTGTTCATACCGCTGGTGTTTCGAAGGATGCAGTTCGTCAATGCGGGTTCACAGAAGTTCAACATCCACCTTACAGTCCAGACATGGCCCCGTCCGACTATTATTTATTTCCAAATTTAAAGCGGGACTTAAGAGGAAAAAAATTTTCAAGCGATGAAGAGTTGCAGGCGGCCGTCTTCAGTCATTTTGACGATAAAAAATGTGGTTATTTTTATAAAGGTTTAGAGATGTTGATTCACAGATGTCAGAAGTGTGTTAATATTCATGGTGATTATATTGAAAAATAAAATTGGTTTCGTTTCATTTCCTTCATTGGTTCATAGTTAGGCCAATTCATTATGGGACCGCCTACGTACATATATTTATAAAAATTGGAACAATTAATTGATGATTTTATAAGTATAATATATAATTTTGTATTTAATATTTATTTACTCCTGTTGTAGCTGTTCATAGAAATATTTTTTGAATTTGTTTTTGTAGTTATCTTCATTGATATCTGAGAGTATTGTGGGGGATATTTAGTTCATTAAAGTAGGAATTAAATATCTATTTGTACGTTTACCATAGTAGTTATATTTTACTTTTCTTGTAATAGTTTTGTGGTTAGTTTTAACTTGCACTTTTTTATTGCGAAATTGTTCTATTAGTATTAGCATCTGAAATTTCGTGTGTATAGGCAATACTTTGCGAAATTTAAATATTCCATTAATATTGTTTTCACTGTATATTTTTGTTTTAACTTTTTTAGGTATAATTATTTTCAATATTCTGATTTGTAGGTTATATATTTTATCTAAGTAAGTTTTAAATGTTTTTCCATAACTTGTAATGCCATAAGAAATAAGAGACTCAGCAAGAGAGTTATACAGATTTATAAGGATGTGAAATGGCATTTTGTATTTTAGTATTGCAAACTTTGCTAGCATAGCCCGTAGCTTGTTACATACATGCTCAACGTGTTTACACCAATTGAATCTTTCATCCACAACCAGACCTAGGTATTTATGTGTTCTAGAGGATTACAATTACAGTTAGTATTTAATTTAGACGAACTATGAAGGCAGTCGTGGCTGTGTGCTCGTATTTTTATTGGTCTTTCGTATTTGTTAGAGTGCATCTAGCGTACATGTATAATTTTAGTTTTACCAGAATTTAATACGAATCCCGCGTCATGTGACCACATACAGAGGTTAGTAAAGTCATGTTGTAACATTTTTTCTGCTTTTGCTATGTCTTTATTGGCTATTACTAGGCAAGTATCGTCTGCATATTGATACACTTAACAATGTTTAATCACATTCCCCACGTCATTTACAAAGGCCAGATAGTGTAAAGGGCCAAGAACCGATCCCTGAGCTGTTCCAGTAGTTACAGGTATTTCATCACTGTAATCATTTTCAATTCTCACCCGGTATTTTCTATCTTTGAGGTAATTTTCACACCACCTGAGTAAAGGCCCGCGTATGCCTGTATTTTCCAGTTTTTGTATTAATAAATCGTGTTTCAGAGTATCAAATGCTTTGCTGTAGTCAATAAATAAAAGAATTATGTGTTGTTTGTTGTCTAAATAAGTATTAATTTCATCGGTAAATTTTGATAACAAAGAAGTAGTTGAATTATTTTTTTTTTGAAAGCGAAACTGAGTACTGGACAGAACGTCATTCGATATATAATATTTATGTATCTGACTACATATATATTTTTCAACTATTTTATCTATTACATTAAGTATTGTAATTGGACTATAATTTTCAAAATCACAGTGTCACCCCTTTTTGTAGATGGGTTTCACTATTCCTACCTTTAATTCTGAGGGATAAATACCAGAATGAACACTAGTATTAATCAACTTTGCAATTGCTGTTGTAATTTTTTCACATAAGGATTTCATGTCTATACAGCGAATCTGGTCTGCTCCAGCGGATTTGTTTGTGTTCAATTTCTGGATTATTTTATTTATGCTCTTGCCATCTGCTGCTTTAAACCGCATTGAACTATTATTCTGAGGAAATATGTAGTCTGCTTGATCTTAGAGGTTTTGTTTACAGTTGGGTAGTATTTTTTTCAACATTTTTAACAAAATCTTTACCAAAATTATTTGCCAATTGTTTAGCTGTTAATTTATTTTTTTGAAAAGCCTTTAATATCGTCGCATCTAATGATTTATTTACTCTGCCTGTGATGGAATTTAGAATATTCCATAGCTTCCTTGGGTTATTTTTGTTATTATTTATTTCGTGATAATAGTATTTGTTTCGAGACATTTCAATAAGTTTATGTGTTTTATTCCTAATTTTATTAAACTCTAGTCGTAATATTTTATCGATTGTATCTTTTTTTCCACTTGTTATACAGGTAGTCTCTTTTTGCGCAGTAAAATTTTATCTTATTACTTATCCATCTTTCCTTATTTCTTTTACTATTTATGCTAGTCTTTGTAGTATATTTAAGAATTATTATAACAGTATTCAAAGCTATTTTGAATAAAGTTGTATATCTCTATCGGACACTGTATATTATCAATCTTATTCCACTCGACGTTTTCGAGAAGTGATATAAATTTTTTGTTATTAATTAATTGTTTGAGTTTTGACTCAGCCTGTACGCTGCTGCTGGTAGCCTCAGTTCCGGCGCGCGATAGCACGCATATGCGGTGATCTGCCAGTACTGTTCCAAGCGCAGCCGAGTAGACGTCAGACGTGCGCGATCTTGCGAATATGTGGTCAATACAACTGCGCGCGATTTTTTCATTTCGAATCTCTATTTTTGTAAAATCAGAAATCGCTCTCGTCAGACCACAATCGGCCAAGCAGCTTAAGTAGTAATCATGAATGTCTCCGATTATGTACAAGTCGGAGTGTTTGATTAAATTGTAACATAGTAGTACTTTAAGTTCATTAATAAAGAGATGCTTGCTTTCATTAGGCGGTCGATATAATGCGCAAATGTGAGTCGTGTAGTGGTGGCAAGATTGGAAGTTTACAATAAATGATTCACAGTGGGTTAATTTTAAGTTGTTTACTACTTCAAAACTGTGGCAATTTTTAATGTAAATTATAATACCACCACCACGTCGCTGCTCACAAAGCTTACTGCACATTTCATACCCGTTTATAGAAAATTATTGAGACAGATTACTACTTATTGAAATTCCTACTTCAGCTACTATAGCTATTGGTGGTTGGTTTATTGTTTGCAGTAATGCACTAAAGTTTTTGATAATAGATCTAATATTTATATGTACAATATTAAAAAGATTAGTATGTTTAGGTAGATAGGTACTAAATTCACATAAATTTGCCGAATCATAAATTTCAGTTACTTCCAAAGTAGTGCCTAGTGCGTAAAGTTTCTACTACCGACTTACAATATGCTCCACCGCCATTTTTTCAATATCACTTAGGTTTCGGATGATCACAGGCTTATCTTTATCATTCTTACGAACTAAAATTCTACCGCCCTGGAACCATATATATTTATAAGTAACCTTAAGTTTTTGCTTAGCTTGCCACAGAAGGGTTTTATTTGCACTGGATAGGGCACGTCGTATCATTATCTTTGTTCTTGCTATAGCAGGATCTGGACAGGAAACGATGTCCTCTGCAAGTGTAGTTACTTTTCTTGCAGCTTTTATCCACTGGTCCACTTGTTCCTCCTGTTTCAAAGATACCTGGATCACGCCCTCCTTTCCATTTTTCCCTTTCAATCTTTTAACTGTAGTTATTTCTTTTTTTTACAATATTTAATTTCGTTGCTAGTGTATTTAGGATAATTTCCGTATTTTCGTCTTTTATTTTGGGTACTCCTGCGACTTCAAATGTACTATTAAGCTGTTTTTGCTCAAGGTTTCCAATGTATTATTCCATAGCATCGATTTTCAGCTCTAGATGTTTATTTTGGTTTGTTAAATATGTATTCTTGTTTTCCAGTTCTTTTATTTTTCCGCTAATCGTCACTAAAGTGTCCATTATTCCATCCATTTTTTGACAACAAGAGCTGAGCGCTTCATTTACTGAGCCTATTTCTTTCTTTACTGCTTTTTTAACCTCGAATGATATGTCGCTTAGTAACTTTTTCATCGCGTTGGATCCGCTGTCAGTTCCCTGTGTTAATAATAGTTCCTCGTCGTCTTCCTCTTCCTCCTCTTGTATGACAAATGACCTTTGCCTTGGAGTTTCACGGCAACAAACTTCGCAGGTCCATTCCAGATTCTCAGTGGCCCTTCGATTGCGTAGTGCTGCTAATTGCTGTAGATGCACTGTTTTTGACTGTGTTGCACTCAGGAATAGCGGATTTCTTGGCTATTAGTTTGTCATAGTTGTCACACTTGGGCATTTTTGCGTTGTTTTTATTATAATTTCAAACTAAGGGTAGAAAAAAAACTTTATAAACGTAAACACAAGTCAGCTGTTTCGTACAACGTCACGAGCAAGACTGAGTTAACCCCGGTTATGCACAGATTAAAATAATTTTATTAAAATTGTTAAATATGACAAATTAAAAATAATATTACATACAAACATACCATGTATTATCTATCCATGGGCAGTCAGATAAAATCAATTCATTTTTCTTAATAAACGCTTAAAGAACTAATTTAACATGGGACTAAGGTAGTTTTGCATAGGATTCTGCTGTCCGGGTTTGTATCATTCTATAAACTGTCTCTACAGCCAAAGTGTTGGAGTTAATATTATATTCTTTAAATATTTTTACTTATTAAAGAAACAGATTTCCTCGTTTTCAATCGGCTCTTTGTTTTGACTTTAGTAAACTTACAGCCTATCTAAGTCCCAATGCTGAGCACATCTCTCTGATTTCTGAGGGGGTTATGAAGCTTTTAAACCATGCAGTGGCGGTGTAAGAATATCCACTACCTTATATCGTCACGTGGGTGTCGTAAGAGGCGACAGAGGGAAATTGAAATAAGTTATGGCCAGCAGCATTTTCCTGATAACAACCTGTTGACAGCCCGCTCGCCAAGCGTGGCAACTCTGGCAAAATGTATGGGGAAGGCCTTTGTTCAGCAGTGGACTTTTATAGGCTGTGATGATGATGATGAAGTGAAGCTTTTAATACACCACACGAACAACCTATCTATAACATAGAAATACCTACCTCTTAGTAAACTAGAATAGTAAACGTAGATTATTTGCATGCTATTAGGAGATGAATAACCACTTTTAATATTTTTGGTCTGTCAAATGTTCAAACCGATCGTAGTGAAACTTGACGAACAGATAAAGAGCAAAGCTAGGATTGAGAGAGGCTACATTTCATACGAAAAAATTATAATTTTTTTTGAGAAGTACCAAAACTTGATAAAATAACATGTCTTGAGTGATTATTTCAAATCTGAATAATGCTACATTAATACATCCAAGCGAAGCCAGAGCGGTTTTATTAGTCAAATAATATCTTCAAAATACTTAATTTTATTGTGCAGACATGTAGATTAACTTATGATGCTTTCGTTAACCGCCGAGTGATTGGTACATACATACTTCATATAGCAGTAAACAATTTCATTGCTGTCGACAGGAATCGACCATGGATTGGTCACGTACTGTAAAATTTACGAACAGAGCACTGTACTGTTAGAGCTAGTATTCTTTCAGAGCGAAGTCCTTCTCCGGGTGAACCCAATCGTTTATGCTGCAGCTCTGATACGTAAAAATCTATGTCAACATCTTATAAGTATCCCATTATATAGCACATGCTCAGTTCTTGACAACATTCCCGGTGGTATGTACGATGTTATTGCAGATAGTAAAGCCCAAATTATTATATAAATGCTTCTGCATTCTTGCTATTATATGTCATCTGATAAAAATTCTGACGCTTTTAAATTATTGCTCACTTGCGCTATTCCAACGTACGCGTTATGATCGATAGTAGAATTAATAGTTTAATTCTACTATCGATCTTAACACGTGCGCTGGAAGAGCTATATAAATTAAGTAATGGAACGATCATTCTCGAAATTGAATGTTAGTAAAAATGAAAAACCACGGCACGGAGGTGAAACACCGCCAACTTCCAGACTACTGAGAAATTTTCCAAAGAAAAAGCCCAATAAATGATTTTGGTCCAACCCAAAATTTAAACCTGAAACTACGTGATCAGCAGCAGCACTAAGCACCACTAGACAAGTGGCAGTTAGCGGAAAAGTGAAAAAGTTTAAATTAACAGCACCTATAGTGTGGGGACGTACCTAAAGCCGCGAGTGCTTAAATAAAAGTAGTGAATTCGGGGAGTTAAACTCAATTGTTTTGATATAACCGTGTGGTGACGTTGTAAATATCCATTTCCTTATATCTTCTTGTGGGTGGAGAGGTGACGTAGGGAAACTGAGGTGGGAGATTTGTAGCAGCATCTTCCTGATTTTTTGGTTTAATGATACCAGCAAAGTAACAACAAAAACAGCCGTTGCCAACCCGCTGCTAACTATGGCACTATAACCTTCCTAGCAAGAGTGTTTTGATATACATATATACCTAAAAATATCCCTAAAATATACACACATATGTATTAAAATATTAATGACCCTCAATAATTTTTTCTCGCCTTCAACTTTGAAACGGTCACGAATATTGCATCCCTAACTTGCGTCGCTAGTCTTTGGGCCGATGAGCGTGTATGAGATATTTAAACAATCGAATGAAAATAACTACAGTCGCTGAAAATAAATTAAAATTTTTTCCGAAAGTTTCACCCTCAACGAAGCACCAAAAAGTTCGAAAATTAAAAATAATTCAAATATTATTAGTTTTATTTAATGTGTAGTATTTAAGTAACGATAATATGTAAATTATAAAATATATATTATAATGGTTGTGGAACAACTATTATTTTCAATTCTCGTTTAAGAAAAATATGACAAAATATATCAGCCAAATTGTAAGCCATACAAATGCTCCTGCTGCAGTCAATCGCTTATCCATAATCGTTTTTTTAATTAAATTAAAAATGAATGAAAATAACGTTTTATTGACGAATTTGTTAAAAATCTTCCCTATATCAAACCGTAACTGAAACCTGAAACTATAGTAAGAGATGGGCAGCAACATCCTCCTTATAATAACTGAAAGTTGTAAAAACTGCGGTTGTCAACCCTTATGTCAAGCGTGGCAACAATGGCAAAATAGAGATTCGTAGGGGGATGCCAAACTAGACTTTTGATAGACTGTAATGTTAATTATGATGATGAAAATGCTTCTGTATGTGTGAAAAATACTTAAAATATAAAAAGAAATTTATCTACCCACTACCACAATCACGGAATCCCTTTCAGAAACAAAGCCTGCAGGATTTCGTCAATCGCATTAAGGAAATTGTCCGAACATAAATCATTTTCTAGGGCTCGGACAAGCGGGAAATTAGTGAAACGATCGCACGAAGAAATATCGGCTTCGACATTTTTGTTTTATCCATTATGTTACGTCTCTACTCATTTTTTTTGGTTAAAAAAAAACTAAATAATTTATAAGAAACTTTAAACTATTATACAAATTGGTTGTGTAGTGAGATATTTACAAATGATAATTTTGATTCATTAACTATAAGGATTCATTAAATATATTTCTTTGTAAATTAAAAATAAAACTCAAATTGTCTTTATTTATTACATATAGTTTAAGTTTATTTTTATAATCATTGTTAGATTCGACATATTTTAAGATCTTAGGTAATTTGTTATACAATTAAATTAATCTCCTTTGTACATCAGATTTACAAATCCAACTTTTAATTTGAAAAATTACTTTATCGTATTAAGGAAAAAATGTGGTGTTACTGTGTGATGACCGTGCAACGTGGAGGGGCGTTCGACGTGCATCACTCACAAGCTACCACTAATTTACCAATGCATATTACAGTGATAACTATATATTAAAGTGAAGAACGTTTAATGTGGTGTGTGATGTAGTAGCGTAGCAGCGTAGAGATGAAAAGCGTATCGATGTGGCAGCGTCTTAGTGTAGCATCGTAGCAGTGTAGCAGCGTAGCAGCGAGTTTGATATATATTTTAATCAATACAGTGAAGAAACTGAGGGACAAACAACCAGCAGGTCGTTGCGTTCGTCATGGATGACCAGCATAGATGATTGTATAACAGATTACTTAGCAGCAGACTGCTAAAAGTATACACAAAAAACGCCGTATACTACACAACCCGCCAAAAACTCTGCACATAGGTCTTACACGCGGTTCTTTAACGAATAGTTAACAAGCAAAAGATGATGGAAAAATTATCGATAAATCCTAAACCCAGATCTTACAGATTACTTTAAAGGTAAAATAAAGTAAAGTCTTCTGTTTTTTTTTAATAAAATTGAAATGATAAACGAACTTATTGCCTTCATGACGATAAATGGCTACTGGAGCCCATGAACATGTTCAACCAATTTTAAACAAAGAAGGTAATTACTGCGGAGTCATTTCTAAATGACAGAATGGAATGCTTTACATGGAATACTATTCCAATAGCGTTCACACACTGCTGTTTTTTTCTCCTATAGGATAAATGTGACACACAAGCACACAGTCAACCTGATTTTAAGTGGTTGGTGTAACACACAGACATCTTAATCTATCCTCGATTACGAATGAAAATGCAGATGCGTTTGCACCCATGCGAAATAAGATGGAATGCCTCGTTTCCTGTAAAAAGGGACCGGTTCTCTACAAACGCACCAAGGCGGCTTTTTTTGGGGGTTTTTTTTGGAGAGCTTCTGTTAAGCCGACCCATTCGTTCTAAAACTATACCAGTAATATGGCTACAGCATGGCTCTACCACGTAAAATAAATGCTGCTGAATTTAGAAAAATAGTGGTAGGTACCCACTCAGATTGACTCCTAGATAGAAAATAAATTGTACCACCTAGTCTCTATATGTCTCTATACTATGCAACAGGCCCACTCTCATTTCTAAAAGGATCACTGGTCACCGTTGAGTAAGTGGCTTTCCATACTTGGCTTGCGATGTGCTTTAATATTTATGAATATCACTTAGTCACTAAAACCATTATTACAGAATACCAACGTAAAGTTCTTAAATAACAATATCATGCTCCATGCTGATGATATAATAGCTCTTTTCAGAGCTGACCTTTCTATGTTTAACGAGACGTCGACTGTAGTATTTTATACGTGGTATAGCCACGCTGTAACTTTTATGGTTGTAGCATGGATGAGTTGGCTCGACAGGGGAAGCACCACGCTATCACAGATACCAGCGTAAAATAGCAGCTTAATGCTGCTTTGTTTCGTATGGTGAGTTTAGAGAACTGGACACCTGTTTCAATGGAATCAATGCATTCCATCTTAGTCCTCAAGGTTAACAACGCATCTGCATTGATTTTAATGGAGGTTAAAAGTAGATGTCAATGAGCCACAGCATCCACTTACTATCAGGTGGACTACATACTACATGGACTACATACTCAACGTCCTTCAGGATGCATTTAATTTTGCCCTTTCACCACCATAAGCGTGCGTAACATGTAGTTATTTTACGTAGTTTACATAAAAAATACAGAGACTCCTTTTACTGAAAACGAAACAATCAGTTTTAATTATAATTTCATCTCGAGATGTTCAAGATAGGCGAGTTTAGTTTGCGAACGTTCATAATATACAAAATAATTTTTAAACAGTATAATTGAATTCAAAGGACTTCAAAAGTTGGTGTTATAATGATATTTTGATTTTTTTATATGTTTATCGTTACAAGTCCAAATGAGAAGTTATTAAGGTTTTATAAACATTGATAGCTTGTCAAGTAGTCACAGCGTAAAAGACTTCATTAGTTCGTCCTATGAATTCTGTAAGAGGCGACTAAGTGAAAAACTGACATCAGTTCATGGTTTCCAATGGATAGCGGTGTAACCATCATATTAACATCAGACTTAAAATATCCGTACCGACTACTGGAGCAGCACTAAGAGGGAAGATCACTGAAACTACTATTGCCATTCGACCTACAAAGCAAGGCGACTGAGGATAATTTCAATGCAAAAGACAGTCTTTGTCATGTTTTGTTATTCATCATTTTTAACCAGAATAAAAAGAATAATTGACTATAATTTTGAGGCATGACAAAAAAGCTATGATATTTAAAACACTATATTTTTACAATAAAATTTGTATTATTCGAAGCCATGGAATCTTCTGTCGCTTAATAACCATTACGGATCCATCACAGCGGGGGAACAGCGACGAAATCTATTTGAATTTCCTCACCTTACCTAGTTTCCGAACGGAAAAGTTTTTTTATTTGTCACTCTCAAGTGACTTTGACGAAGGGAATAACTTTTGAATAAAACTCCGAGCGAAATACGACCGCGCACCTACGCATAAAGCGATTTATAACTCAAGGTACGACTTCTGAACTAGTTTCAGAAAGTTAGAACGAAGCGTGAAAATTCGGTAAGGGAATTTTTTATCCTCTCAAGTGATTTTACGAAAAAAAAACAACGTAATATAGATTAAGTGAAAAAAAAAATTAATATACAAACAATCTATTTACAAAGATAAAATGCCTTCTCTGAATGTCGAAACTTAAAAATACCATGAGTTTTTTCGTATAATATTACGCATGCAATTTTTTTCACTAGAATGGATGGACATAGTTATGACAGATTCGCATAAGCTGAAACCACACGGTGGATTTTTACTTTGGTTTTTTCTTACGTTGCGATTGACCTCCAGACAAGTGACCCAGGCAATGTCCAGTAAATAAATATACTAGGGCCGATGCAGATGCAAAGGTAAAACCTTTTGCTAGCATCACAAACGGAGCGGAGTAAAAGTCTAAAGTCATAACTATCTTTATTTCAACAAAAGATTCAATCACATTACAATTGTTTTAAATTAATTATTTTCTCAATAACTATTACAAAAGCGCGCGCTTTTGCTTGAAATGTATTTTCCCATAAACAATTTACTTTTTGGTTATATTTTAATATCTTTTAGATAGATTGTTATTGTTTACAAACCTTGTCTGCGTTGAGCTACAAATATTGCCGAAAAATTATGTGAATTTGCCTACGGGTTACGGAGGAGATAGATTTCAAAGAATCGTTTTCTTGCGCCATGGGAGATCCGCTCCAATTATATGTGAATTTCAAGAGGTACCAGAATATTAAAATGTATATTTATTTACAGAAAATGTTATTATAAATGTTACAGTCTGTGCACTGGACACTCAATATTGTCAGGTAAATCACCGGGGAGGGGACCATAGAGCCCTGTGTTGGCTCGTTTAGCAGACAGTAAGCCGATGATAGCAGCGTACCGCTAGCAAGGAGTGCACAGCAGTAGCAGCTGCTCCGAACATGCAACTAACATGAGTTTCCTCACAGCAGGTCTTTTCTGAAGCGGCGGCTCTTCTTGAAGTACTCAAAATATCTAACAGGGAATAATTACAGCAATAAACACTTGCTGCTTTTATAGAATTTTCAACGGACATGATTATTTAACATAGTAATAGTTAATAATTTAGTAAATATAGTGAGATCATTATTTGTGAAGATTTTCTATTTATATTATGTTGTATTCATGATAAAAGACAAAATTTCTGTCACCCTAATTTGAGTGTTCTATATTTTAATTTAATAATTTCGTAATTTAAACAAGAATCGATAATTTGAAATAAAGACCAAAAAGCTTTCATATAAAAGTTATAGAAATTATATTACAAAATAAATATAAAAGAGAACCAAAACACAAAAGGGAAGTAAGGATTGTCTTATTTAAAAATGCATACGCCTTTATTGCTTATTTGTAATATTTCATAACTTTTATCATGTCTAATGCTGAAAATGTGCTAAAATCTACTAAAACACAATAAAAAGGGTGCGCATATTTAATTATAGTATATATAGTGTTGGCCGCTCCCCGGGCAATACACCTTGCCCGGCGGGAGATCTCACCTTTTCCTTCTACGGCCACAGTGGTGACCACCCAACGTGATCTGAACACGCAACCAACACCTTCGGAAACTTTAAGCTTCATCATCATAGAATACCCTACCCATTCGCTCCCGAGCAGATATCGTCTGCAGTCTTTATATCCTGCAAGCGATATAGCTTCACAAGATTCATCGTAGCACTGGAATAATAATGCTTCCTGTTCCTTCAAGCTACTCTCTGCGCTATACAGTGTTCGGAACGGCTCTGAGCCTTACTGCTCGCCTCTGTTTAACGGCACTCTCGCAGATTACAGCAGACTCACCGCAGACTACAAGGCAATCCACTGGCACTTGCACATTCGTCGGCAACGAGGCTGCACTATGGATCTCCGGTCTGAGCAGGGGGTGATGTGGCGGCGCAGCCGCAAGTGAAACACACCGAAGCCTAAATCTCGCTGTCAAAAGTTCCGAATCATAAACAATATATATAGAAGATCTCGGAACTGTCACACGGGGTGTTGGCCGCTCCTCGGGCAGAACACCTTGCCCGGCGGGAGATCTCCCCTTTTCCTTCCACGGCCACAAATTAAACAATATCTACAAGATATTTACACCATACCACTCTACATACATTTCTCAAGAACAGTTATTTAAAAATGTAGATCTTCTAGGATACTATGCACTATCTCTTCGTTTTATTCGATCCACGCACTCTACATAACTTAAAACCAATTTTTTTATCGTGATGCACACAATTCAAATCTTCGTTCTTATTAATTTTTTTTCTGTTCTGATTCAGTGAATCGAAACCAAACATTGTTAGAACTATAAAAAAGATTTATCACTTATTAAACACAGGTTATTACAGGTGTTTTACGTATGAACATTTATCTTACAACGGCGGACAAATCGCAAACTTAACAACGCTGACTGTTGTCGCACTACGCGATGATATGGTAACATACCTATACCATACATGCATACATATGGGTAATTTTAAACGATCTCTTATACTACTTAAAGTGGTTCAGGATCTTCACGATTAATTTATCACTACAACACTTATTATAATATTTCTCTTCAAACGCCTTTATATCGGTCCGGTTCTATGTGTTGACCTTCAAGGTCAATCGGTGAGATTTTGGAACGAACTTCCAACTTATATAAGAAGGGCTTTATCTATAATTTATTTTTAAAAAGCAGTCACTGAGTTTTTTCTTGACACTCTTCAAACTTAGTTCTGTTTTGTTATGTCTTATTGTTTTTCCAACAATTTGTTAGGGTATTTTCAATATATTATAACACGTTATATGAATATTTCCGAGTATTTATCTATTTATTAATTACAATATATAATATGTGTGTGTTTTATGAATATGTAATTGTATTAGTAATACATATTCTTTTTTAATTTTCTTATAGCTACTTTATCATAAACTAGTTTATTCTTACAAATCATATTGCACTTTCAAAGTAATGTTCTTCGCTTACTTATTGGTTGATTAGTAGAGAACACCAGTAAAAGGCGTTAAGTCAACTTTTGTACATTTTTGTGCAACGAAGTTTAAATAAATAAATAAAAATAAACGACAAATAATTTATAGGCTTAGGAAATTGTTAAAGTAATGGGAGTTGATAACGTTGTACCAAAATGCTTCAAACGGGAATGCGGTCTCGTTATGGACCAGGTTGTCCGTAGGCGAACTGATCAAACCACTTATGCCTCGTTCCGGACGTTTTCACGAACTCACGCAAATGAATTGAAAGGGAAGGGAATACGAATCGATCGGCGCTAACGAGTCTGGTTTCGAATCATTGATTTTTCAGCTTTGTCTTTGCTCTTGTCTGTCGTGAGATATAAGATGTCTTGAAATAAACAACTTTCGCTTTTTTTTTTAAAGACAAATCTGATGAAAATGTTTAAGTTTTGACGGCCCGTGGGGGGCGGTGATAGCCGCGGGTTTGAATTCCGTACGGATCCAGTATTTTTATGGCCTACAAATAATTCTTCCGAGTCTGAATGTATTTCCTTGTGAAATTTATAAATGTAAACTGGCTCCACAAAACAGGGGAAAATCCTAGCGTGGGAGTAATATTTTCAGAACAAAACCTAATATAAGTATTAACGGTGCATCTGAATTCATCCTTACACATAATATTTATTAATTAATCTTAAATAAATATATTCTCATTTAAATTTAAAATGAATAAATTATTGCATATTATTAATTCAAATATTATTCTACGGAACATTATTTTTTTTAATTTATTCCGCGCACCGTTAAACCGTTACTCACAGATCTCTAAATTGGAAGTATATACTTGGACAATTTGGAGACACCCACGAGTCCCCGTTCGGGCCATTCCTCGTTCATTTCTACCTGAGACTACTTGAAGTTCGAAACGCGCGTGATCCTTAACGAATGACCGTTGAACTTGCTTACCTACATTCAAAATTTAAGTTATTCAAAGTTGATCAGTTGATCCCGCTGGGGTGAGTTCTTATTTATTTTAACATTAGTAAACATTGTAACTGTTCTGCTTAGTTCCAATCTCTTCTGCTGAGGCTGCTTAGTGCTTAGGAATTTTCAACTTCCCAGAAGGGGTGCTAAACGTGATTAGGAAGCTTACAATCCTATTGGAAGTTTCCTTAATGCGGAGGCCAGCGGAATTCCAGGATTCCTCCATTCCAGGCAATTCCTCTGGAATTCCAGGATCCATCCGTTCACCTACCTACATAAGCCGTATTTGCTGCCGTGCTGTGTGCTAACGGACTGTTGACCTACTATCCTTCCAACAGCCATCATAACCGTCGGACCTGTGTTATCATCGGCTCCGTTCGCTAGCTGGCTGTCTGTGACCGTCAAAACGTAGCCTGGACTTCGCTTCCCTACGTCAGGCCAGTGATTCTCTTCCTAAACCTAACTTGTATATGTGCGGAAGTAAGATAAATAAATATTATTATACTATAAATATTGACTATTTTTAAGAACTCACCTCTCTTCAGAACCAACCTAACGGTACAAAGTTCGTTTTGTATTCACCCTTTAAATAGTCTTATTTGTTGACTTAGGGACCTTCAAGAAATCAGCTTCTTACAGTTACCCTGATATTGCAGTTGTTTATGAGCGGCGGTCGGTCATGCTGTCTTTTTTATAAAAAACTAACCTTAAATTTGTCGATATCAATAACGGAAGAAACTTTCCATTATTTTAAGGAAATGTTTCCTTCCCGCATCCTATAAAATGCTTGTGCGATAAGATCGACATAAAGGACTTTTTGTGTTGTAAATTTTTATTACAGCCTATCGAAAATCCACTATTGATCCTCGGCTTCCCTTATAGATTGTATCGTAGGGGGGAGGTGCCATAGTCACTTGTCTGGCAATTTCGGTCACGGCTGCCAACAATTGCAACAAAAAACGCCAAACAACGGAGACAAAAATTTTTTCTGTCTAGATGTTTTTACGTTCAATTATTTACATGGAGTAGGCGTTCTGTTTGGCACGATCGTGACATACCTCCCTCGCCTCCTTTACATCCATATATCTCGTCAGTTAAGGGGTTCAATTATTTATGTTCGTAAAATAGCTGCATGGCATAAAAGGAATAACTAGTGATGAGGTTTCGTCCAAAATTAAATAAGCCAAGTGGGATTTTTCTTCTTCTATTTTTCATCTTCATAATGTGCCTTTCGATTAACGAGTAGTGAACAATCGAATCTATTAGTTCAAAAAGAATTACAAGGTATGTGCTTTCAGGTGTACTGGTGGTGTAAGAATATCCACTACCCCATGCCGTCCCGTGAGTGTCGTAAAAGTCGACAGAGGAAAAGTGAAACAGGAGATGGGCAGCAGCATCTGCCTAATAGCTACTCAAAATTATAAAAACTGTGGTTGCCAACCGGCCTACTAAGCGTGGCAACTATTGCTAAATCCTCTTAAAGGGAATTAAAGGGACCCACCTAATAGGAATAACTCTTTGTGAAACGTCCATATTTAATGGTGGAGTTTTATAAGCTATAACGGAATGAAATACGTATGCTTACAAATTCCAGTACGATGTCAGACTACATGGTAATACGGAAAAAGCAATCTGCGATAACACAGGACAAGAGATAGAGTATTACGCCCATTCTTAAAAGTTTCTGTTACGTCCAACTTCGCTCTCATCGGAATGCGAGTAAAGTATGAACGATTTAATTTCGCTAAGTGAGCGGCTGAGCCGGAATTTGTAAATTAGGTAACCTGCAAAGAAGCCTCCATCATAACACTAATTAGAATTTTTATCCGAGGAAACATAAAAAAAATTATCGAGGCGTATTTAAAAGAAAATAATTACGTATTATTATTTCATACGTGACTAGCAATCCTCTTGGCTTTGCGGGGAGGATTTCTGAATCTCTAAAACAGGGTCATCTACAGACTCCAATTGTGAATGTAAACCATTCAGGGATCCACTCAAATACACATAAAAAAACTCATCAAAATCAGTCCAGTTGTCTAGGAGAAGTTTAGTGATACACGTACATAAGAATTATATAAATAAATATAAAGCTTT